GTGTCCTCACACACACACGTGTCCCTGTGCACACACGTGTCCTCACACACACACGCGTGTCCTCACACACACACGTGTCCCTGTGCACACACGTGTCCTCACACACACACGCGTGTCCTCACACACACACGTGTCCCTGTGCACACACGTGTCCTCACACACACACACGTGTCCTCACACACACACGTGTGTCCTCACACACACACGTGTCCTCACACACACACGTGTCCCTGTGCACACACGTGTCCTCACACGCACACATGTTTGCCCCGCGCGCACACGCGCTCACACACATGTGCCTTGCACACACAGGTGTCCCTCCCACACGCGTGTCACACACCCGTCCCCACAAACCCCCCCCGTGTGTCCCAGCGTGCACACGCGTGTGCTCCTGGCACCCACATGGCCCCACACGTGTCCCTGTGTGCACACACGTGTCCCTCACACACACACGTGACCTCACACACACACACGTGTCCCTTGCCCACGCGCAGCCACACACGGACTCACATGCGTGCCCTCGCACACGTCTCCACACGCATCCCTTGCACACCCACCTCCCTCACACACACGTGTGCCCCTCGCACACACACGTGTCCTTCTCCCACACACGTCTCTCACACGTGTCCCTCCCACACGTGTCCCACCCCCTCCCCTGCACAGACACCGTCCCTCGCACACATGCGTGTCACACACATGTCACACACACGTGTCACACACACGTGTCACACACGTGTCACACACGCGTCCCCACACCCGTCCCTCGCACACGTGACACGCACGTGTGTGCCCCCTCCCCACACAACCCCTTGCACGCTCACGTGACTCACACACACACACGTGTCACTTGTGCAAGCACACACGTGTCCCTCTCACACACACGAGTCCCTCGCACACGCGTGTGCCCCTCCCACACGTGTCCCCCGCACACACACACGCACACACACGCGTGTCCTCAAACACGGCCCTTGCACACTCACCTGCCCCCTCTCCCACCCACCTCTCACACACGTGTCCCTGGCACACCCACAGTCCCTCACACCCATCACACACGTGTCCCTCGCACACTCACAGTCCCTCACACCCATCACACACGTGTCCCTTGCACACTCACCTGCCCCCTCTCCCACCCACCTCTCACACACGTGTCCCTGGCACACCCGTCCCTCGCACACTCACGTGTCCCTCACACCCATCACACACGTGTCCCTTGCACACTCACCTGCCCCCTCTCCCACCCACCTCTCACACACGTGTCCCTGGCACACCCGTCCCTCGCACACTCACGTGTCCCTCACACCCATCACACACGTGTCCCTTGCACACTCACCTGCCCCCTCTCCCACCCACCTCTCACACACGTGTCCCTGGCACACCCGTCCCTCGCACACTCACGTGTCCCTCACACCC